TCAGGCAATGCAATAGCGCAGTTGGTAGTGCTATCGCCTCACAGCTAGAATGTCACTGGTTCGAGCCTCGGTTGGGTCAGTTGGCGTTTCTGTGTGGAGTTTGCATGTTCTCCCTGCGTTCGCGTGGGTTTCCTCCCGGTGCTTCGGTTTCCCCAAAAGTCCAAAGACATGCAGTACATGTGCATTGGTTAGACTAAATTGTCCATAGTGTATGAGTGTGAATTAGTGTGTGTGGATGTTTCCCAGAGATGGGTTGCGGCTGGAAGGGCATCCGCTGTGTACAAACATGCTGGATAAGTTGCCGGTTCATTCCGCTGTGGCGACCCCAGATTACTAAAGGGACTAAGCCGACAAGAAAATGAATGAATGAATCTACAGATCATCTGATATAAAAGGTTCATCATCAAAATCTACGCTCGCTGGCCACTTTATTATGTAATCCTTCGTGGCATAGATTCAACAAGGTACTGTAAATATTCCTCAGAGATTTTTGTCCATGTTGACATAATAGCATCACGCAGTTACTGCAGATTTGTTGGCTGCACATCCATGATGTGAATCTCTCTTTCCACCACATCCCAAAGGTGCTCTATTGGATTGAGTTCTGGTAACTGTGGAGGCCATTTAAATACAGTGAACTCATTGTTATGTTCAAGAAAGCAGTCTGAGATGATTTGCACTTTATGACATGGTGCATTATCCTGCTAGAAGTAGTCAACAGAAGATGGGTACACAGTGGTCATAAGGGGATGGACATGGTCAGCCACAATACTGTGGAGTTGACACGATGCTCAATTGGCACCACCCCCACCAGCCTGAATCGTTGATAAAAGGCAGGATAGATCCATGATTTCATGTTGTTGACGGCAAATTCTGAGCCTACCATCCAAATGTCGTAGCAAAAATCGAGACACATCAGACCAGGCAACATTTTTCCAATCTATTGTTCAATTTTGGTGAGTGTGTGCGAATTGTAGCCTCAATTTCTTAGCTGACAGAAGTGGCATCCGGTGTAGTCTTCTGCTGCTGTAGCCCATCCGCCCTAAGGTTCGACGTGTTGTGCATTCAGAGATGCTCTTCTGCATTTCACTCGGTTGTAATGAGTGGTTATGAGTTACTGTTGCCTGTTTATCAACTCGAACAACTCTGGCCATTCTCCTCTGTCCTCTGGCATCAACAAGGCATTTGTGCCCTCAGAACTGCCGCTCTCTGGATATTTTCTCATTTTCTAACCATTTTCTGTAAACCCTGTAGATGATTGTGCGTGCAATTCCCAGTAGATTAGCAGTTTCTGAAATACTCAAATCAGCACGTTTAGCACCAACAACCATGCCAAGTTCAAAGTCACTTAAATCACCTTTCTTTTGCATTCTGATTCTCTGTTTGAACTGCAGCAGATCATCTTGACCATGTCTACATGCCTAAATGCATTGGATTTCTGCCTTGTGATTGGCTGATTAGAAATTTACGTTAACCAGCAGTTGGACAGGTGTACCTAATAAAGTGGCCGGTGAGTATATTTATGTGATATGTAGCGATATGAATGAAATTACACCAGATGGTTCGAATAGCTCTATTAAGAAGGAATTCATTAATTTAGACTGATTGGGATGATTTAGTAGGGAAATGAGTCATGCATAAAATATAATGAACATAACAAATTACAAGCATAGATAAATACAATAGAACAAAGATAACAGTGAAATAAACAGTGCTGCTTCATGGTTTTCTGTGGAGTCAGTTATCAGGTACAGAAACTGAATAAAGAAATGTAAAATAGCATTGTATAGTCTCTGCTATATAAATAATTTCAAAAATATATTAATTTCATTATGGTTAAAAGTTTGCAATGTTCTGAACTGTGATGTCTGGTGAACTATAATCCCAACCAGCATTGCAGATCCTAAGATGTGACGATAGAGATACATTCTTGGTATTTAATACATGGGAGCCTGATTACCATTGATCTCGATTGATTTATTGTACCATATACTCTACATACTCATCAACAATAAACTGTAAGTGCTCACACTACAAATAAATAATCATATGCGGAAAATGTTTTCTTGTGGCAGCTTATTGATACCCTGTCACTTACAGATAATCTTATACATTTATTTGATCCGCTCCCTCTGCATTTGTGCTCGGCTTCCCAAGTGAACCGTGCTTGAGCCCAATTCAGCGCACTCACACTTCTCAAACGATCTGGGAAACGGGCCTGGGCACGGTAAGGATGGCATAGTGTGAGTAGGCCCTTAGACAAACCAGCTGATCGATGTAACTTTAAAATGTTCCAGTGTCCCTGTATCTGTGTTCATACTCAGTAAATAGCTGTGAGTTCAGTAAACTGATGACCTTTATGACCAAAAACTGACTTACTGTGACGCAGATTCTTATGCTCTATTGTACATGTGCAATGTTGCCTTATCAATGCTGAAACAATATATTGTGCAGGTTTACTATATGTAGTTATGTGGACGCTCTTCTCTTGAAAAATGTTAAACCTGGGTTATTTTTAGGTATAACCCGTTTACAGAATCCTAGGTTATTTAATTCACATTTTACACTTTTCATAAGTTCTCAATTTGTCACAGCAAGTGACGTACACTTACTGGCCACTTTATTAGGGACACCTGTCCATCCGCTTGTTAAAGCAAATTTTTAATCAGCCAATCACATGGCAGCAACTCAATTCATTTTGGCATGTAGACATGGTCAAGATGATCTACTGCAGTTCAAACAGAGCATCAGAATGGGGAAGAAAGGTAATTTAGTGATTTTGAATGTGAAATGGTTGTTGGTGCCAGACGGGCTGGTCTGAGTATTTTAAAACCTGCCAAAGACTGGAAAAACATTGCCTGGTCTGATGAGTCCCCATTTCTGCTGTGACATTCGTATGGTAAGGTCAGAATTTGGCATCAATGTCATAAAGCGCGAACCATCTCAGACTGGTTTCTTGAACATGGCAATGAGTTCACTGCGCTCAAATGGCCTTCACAGTCACCAGAACTCAATCCAATAGAGCACATTTGGGATGTGGTCGCACAGGAGATTTGCATCATGGATGTCCAACAAATCTACATTAACTGTATGATGCTATTGTGTGAATATGTACCAAAATCCCTGAGGAATATTTACAGATCCTTGTTGAATCTATGCCAAGAAGGATTAAGGCAGTTCTGAAGGCAAAACGGGGTCCAACCCAGTACTAGTAAGGTGTACCTAATAAAGTGGCCGGTAATAGTGATATGTTTGTGTTGTGCAATAAATTATAATGGTCAAATGTGTGATTGACAAAGCATGTCATTGGTATCTATCCTTAACACTAACTCCACAATCCAAAGCAGTGTATGAAGGATTAGCATTATTACTGCAAAATTGCATTTTCAATGTAATAATAAGCAGAAATGTTGAAATTCTAGTTATGTTTTTAATGAAAGCATGCAGTGAAAAGAGTGAAGGTGTGAGATGTGTGTTCAGACTGTTTGTCGGTCCTCTCTCAGCAGGATGAACAGATGGTTTTTCAGGGTTGGCTGGAAAGAGGTAGCCAGTATGTTATTGGAACTGTAGCTCCTACTGTCATCTAAAAAATCCATGAAAAGCCAAGCAATCTAAATAACCTCAAAATTAGCTTCTAACCCCTTGTAAACATCTCACAGATGTTGTACTGTATGGTGGAAAATATGCAACCAAACAATGACATTTATTGTATGAAACATTTTTTCATACAGTCCCATCTGCTGCCATTTTTTTTAGACAGGACAGGATGTAGAAAATTATATCAAAATTTGGTCTGAACTGCAAATATTTAATAGGACAAAGGAAGGTGTCTCGAGGGACAGTGAAAATCAGAGCGAGCATAAATATAGACCATGTGCAAAGATGGTTACATGGTTCTTCTGTGCTTCTTAGAATCTGAATTCTGGGATCAAAGCTAATCTTCTGAATTGTAAATGAGCATTGTGCAGTGTATCTACCGCCTATGGTAAAACTACCATTTGACATTTACTAGTTTATTCGCTTTCCTTTTTTAGCCTTATTTCCACTCTATTCATTTTATTTCCCCATAGATCAGAGTGGCACTATTATTAATGAGTAGCAGGAGTAGGGGTGTTGCAGCAGGATGCGGTAAAGCAGTGTGTGTAATTTGTGTAAGAAAGCATCTGGATTGATAGAGACAAATTATTTGCGTTTGAAAGACAAAATAATTTCACATTTTTAAATGATTGTATTCATGTTACATTTCATATTTGCATTTTTTAAGGAATGATTATGAGCAAAAGCATTCAGTGATTATGAGAGAATCTTAAAAGATGGCATTATATCATGTTTATGTTTGAATACCCTAATAACATTAGTGTAAATTAAAGCTTTATAGAGGAATGTTCTGTCCTTCACTGAGAAAGGAGTTTTCTTGTACACTAATTTATTCTTCTGAGATGCTGCAAGGCCTCTATTTTTATAATTAATTCAGATTTTCCATTCAGTGTTGTTGCATTGGTTTAACATTTTGCAATTTCTCTGCACAGACTGATGTTTATGCATGACATGACATTTAATAGGAGGATAACATTTACACTGATTCTGTACATGATAATGTGTTAGTCTTATATCTTTCACTGAATGTCCGCAGTGGTCATATTAAACCAAATTACTTGCAACTATGTATTAAAAAATGACATACATGTACATCTCTTCTGTGTTACTGGGCATATGCAAGGTCATTGTTAGCCTGAGAGAAAGGCGATGATGATTTCTAGGGGCCCATGACAATTTCAAAAGTGGGGGTTTATTAAATATGCATATTTGTGATCAGTATTATAATGGCTTTTAATATTTGCGCATAATAGAACAGTTGTGGTCCAGTGAATGCCTTGTGGAAGCTCTGTATATATTTCATCTAAATTTAAAATTGATCCTTTATCCATAGATTTCACATGTACAAATGGCTGATTTAAGAAAAAGAATCAACTAATAAACTTGCTTTTGATTCTTTCTAGGAGACACAGACTGAGGGGAAAATAACGGGGGTCCATTTAAAATGACACGTACGGACCCTCCTGACATATTAACATCAACTTTGTATGAAGACATAAATATTGGCCCTAACTCTGGGCTCTCAAAGTATTCTGGATCTTCGAAGCAATGTGATTCACAAATGGTTGGCCCACTGGATCAAAACTTCGAAACAATTAACAAAAGACATTGCCGAAGCTTTGACTTCATCGAGTCACTGGATGACCCAAAGGACATTTCATCGTCCATGGAGTATCCTTACAGGTCTGAACAGCAACCAGTAAATAAGGATGCAGTCTGGAATGGCATTGGGCAGCAGGGACACCTACGTTTTTCCTCACCAGATCTGTTCAACTCGAGACTGTCCCATCAAATCAGTACAGACAAAAGCAATGAGACAGCAAGGGCTAGTGTTCATGGCAAGCCTCGCTCAAAAAGTACACCTAGAGTTCGAGCCACCCTAACCCCAGTACCCATCACAGTTTCTCCTCCTGCAACCACAAGGCGTCGATCTCCAGTGGACCCTCAAAAAAGAATAGAAGGTTTGCCAAACCGAGAAGCCTCCCACTCAAGCAGGGCTTTAGTTAATGAGGTTCATCCGATAAAGTTACAACCACACACACCCCTCTATGTTTCTGATTGTTTTGAGGAAAACAGACAAGAAAAACAAGCTAACACTCCCCATGTCAGGTGTCGTGTTGATATTAAGCCAGATGCCTCAGTTCTCCAGCACACAGCACGGAAGATACCTACTCAAAGAGGTAATGTTCCCTGGCAGCTTTCCTCAACATCATCAATCAGAAATGTCTCATTTCCAAGTCAGACATCCACTTCAAGAACACCAACCCCTAGTGAGTGTTACAACATGGACTACAGGCAAGCATATCAGTATCCCAACAGCTTGTCAAGTAGTTACATTCATTCTGGTGAGATCCCTTTTGGAAGGACCTCTCCTAGAGATCCAAGGGAGTACAGAACATTGTCTAATCCTAACATCCCTACCAAGTTCTTTTACACAGATGATCCCTGCAGGTATCCCATTCAGCCACCTAGGACTTATTATCAGGATGACCAGTACAGTGTTATCAGCAGTACCAGCCAAAATCCCTCTGTCAGTAGTCAGTATGTACTTGACCCAAGAACTCGCTGGGTTCATACTTTACCTGTGCGTTCGTACTATGCAGATTCCCATCGGGAACCCTTGGATCCATTTTATGGTAGACCATATTCAGTGAGTGAGCCAGGACCATACTTCATATCCACCCCTCAGAGTGAAACATACTTTCAGGATGACCCAAGAACATATGGATTTCCCTCTGATCCATCAAAAATGTTCTATACACGGCCTTGCCATTACCCAGCAGAAGTACACATTCCTATGAGAGGATATCATACAGAGGGACGACGGCGACCACATATGTCTCAGGTCTTTTCAGATGACTTGCACCGGTCAAGCATTGCTACATATTCTAGCCAGTATGCATCCTCACAGGCCACTCCTCAGAGGGCACCGTCAATAAGTTCTTGGTATCCCAATGACTTTACCGAGCCAAGTCGCTTAGGAACAGATATCCGGAATTTCTCTAAATCCTGGGACAACATTCTCACTCCTCATATGGACAGAGAAATTGGTGTTTCACGAGGCAGGAGTTACGAGAACCTTCTCCATCATGGAAGATCAGGAGTTCCTTCAAATGACAGTCAACAGCCAGTTATTGTGAATCTGTCTAGTTCGCCAAGACGTTATGCTGCATTGTCCCTCTCTGAAAATTGTCTCGAAAAGTGTGCTGGTGATAGACAAAATAGTGCAAGAGGGCAATGGTTTGTAACCCCAGAGATTACTATAACTGACAATGACATCCGTGCAGCAAACAGCAACAAGAGAAATGGGGGAACAAGCAGCTGGAAAACAGGCTCAAATACAGGCCAATGCCAAACAGACAACTTGCATAACTTACAGAGACCAGCAAACCCATCAGAATCCACAGAGAGGAAGAACAATAATTACTCCCTGCAGCAAAGCCTCGAACAGCTTGATGAGCTGCTAGCCGACCTAGTCATTGATTACAAACCTCAAAATAGCAGGAGACCAAGCAAGGATCTTATAGACCAACTCAAACTATTGATTCAAGATGATGAGACCAAAGAAAGCAAAAGGGAAATGGACCAAGATGATTCCGGACTTTTGAACACACAAACTGACTCATCAAAGACTAGCCCGGATACATTCAAAGATCAAGATAGTGGTTGTGAGGGTTTTCCTCGTTGTGTTGAAGAAATTCCTTTGAACCATATTGCAGAGGAGGATGACACTATGGTGTGCTCCAACAAAAAATGCTTACGTAAAGACACTACATTTAATGCCTCCTTGTACTTCAAGTCCTGCCACAGCTGTTATACTTACTACTGTTCTAGAAACTGTAGACGGGAAGACTGGGACACACATAAAGAGAACTGTCTTTATGGCCGGATCAGTAGTGTTTGTAGGCACATACTAAAACACTGTCGAGAGGATTTGGATATTCATAAAGCATTCTCACGCATTGCCAGAGTAGGGTATCTGTCCCGCGGGAGAGGCGTTCTCTTCCTGGGTTTTCCAAACCCTGGGTGTGCGGATAACTTTCTTCAAGTTGGTCTTGACAGCCTAACCATCTCTCCAACATATTTGTCCCTTCGAGAGTTAGACAGTTTCAAAGACAACCTAGGGCCATACTGCAAAGAATTGCAGAATGCAGGCAAGGAATATGACCCTACTGAATGTTTCCTACTGAATGTATCCATTGCTGTCGGAGACCTAGTGCCTAAACTTCCTTCACCTAAATTACAAATGCCAACAGTTCGCAAGTATGCGAAGGTCTCATTGGCCTCCTCAAGCCCAGATAAGAAAATCTTCAAGAAAGAATGTGAAATGGAGACTCTGATTCTCACTCCTCCTCCAGGAACATCTGACATAGACAAGGATGGCCAAGAGGGCAGGAAAGCACGAGAGATTTGCTTCATTAATATCCAAAGGGAGCTTCGAACCAGAGGTGTATTTCTTCGTCATGAGTTCCCACAAATCTACAACCAGCTTTGCGAGTTTGTTGAGAGCAACAAAAGGTTCACCCCCACCACCATTTATCCCATTGACAAGAGAACTGGGAAACAGTTCATGTGTATGATCATGGCAGCGTCTGAACCAAGGATGCTAGATTGGGTTGGTGCACCACACCTTCTAGATGACATTATATAATCCTATGCATTCAGTAGTATCAAGCTTTTGCTGTGTAAAAATAAACGACTAATGTTTTTAGATATGTATTTTATTAGTGAGAGTTTTCTCTGTCTGGCACTAAAATCTAGAATTAAGAAGAATTGCTTATGGGATAAAAAGCTATGTACAGTACTTATTAGAATATTTGAGCAGTTTTGCTTAGTCTTAAAATCTGTTTCTGTCTGCCCAGTCAGAAGCTTTTTTGCATTTTTGTGCTGACATTTTTGGCCAAGAAGTTCTGCATAATACATTAATGGTGTTAAAGAGTAGGAATACTTTTAAAGCCTGCTTTATACTTCTGCATTGAGTGATCGGAGTGACCCACGGCACCTGTCTTGCACGTTGCCATGCATTTATACTTCTGCATGCTGTTTGTGTTGCTCTGCAATAACAATTTCCAAGCAAAGGGTTTTATTTTCCTCTGTGTCGAGCTTTTTTGCAGGTGTTTTGTTTTTTCTAAACGCTACCTTTATGTACAAGTAGCTCAAACTTGCTCATTTTGAGGTGGGAACTTGAGAATGTGCAACAACTTTGATCATAAGGTAAACACAAAACAAAACTATCCATCTGAAGCTTCTTCACGGGACTCCACACTTGTAAACACTCGCTCCAATAGGTTTGTGTGGCTCTTGGTCCCTCCCACACTCAACACCGCTACCAAGCCGACCAATCACAGAGCTTGCGATACGTGTCACTGTGATGTGTAGTTACATTTTTTGAGAGGTTCGCATAGAGCAATTGTTTACAAGCGTCAAGTCCTATAAAGAAGATTCATATGGAAGCTTTTGTTTTTGCTTACCTTATGATTAAAGTTGGTGCATGTCTGCTGGTTCCCGCCTCTGAATGAGCAAGCTTTAGCTACTTGTACATTGAGGTAACTTTCAGAAAAAATAAAAAACCTGCAAAGAAACTCAACACAGATAAACATAACATAATTTACTGCCAGCTAGCATTTCTGAAGATGGTATTGCAGAGCGCAGCACACAGAAATATAAATGCATGGCTACACACTAGGCAGGCACCAAGGGTCACAGCAATCATGCACAAGTACAAACCAGCCTTTTTTAGTAATGCTCAAATTGGCTTAAATATTTATTAAACAGAATGTTGGGAGATGTGTAGAACTTTGTTAATGACAGGTGTTACAAATCTGTGGAAACTGTTGAACTTTCTGTGGATTATATATGGCCCTGCTTATGACTATATTTCTTGTGCTAATATGTTGCAGTGAGGATCTAACAACTAGGAACCATTGGAGAACCTCTGGAGAAAGTCTCATTTTCTCTTGCAATACAATAGCGTCTAAAAGTCATTGTCTTTAGCCCCTTGAGAGGATAAAATGCACTTGCATGGAGAATGCATGCTGGCAAGGAAAATGCAAATTCACCTAACAATTTGCAATGATTTTTCATTTCATCAAAATAAATAATATTCACTAATTATGATCAGTATGGCAGAAAAGCAAACACGTCAGGTACATTTTTTATAGTCAAATAAACTGCTTGGAAAGTTTCTCTGTATTGTACATGGCAACTGCTTTCTGTATTGTATTCATGAGGCACTATATCTATTCATATGGTTAAATCAGCTGGAATTGTTAACAACTAATTTTACATGACAGAAAATCCTTTGAGTTAAGCATATGCAAAGTAAGATACTAATTTATTCATTTGACATGATCATTTTTGTTCATTTTTCATGGTTCTGTAAAGTTTTAATCTTATGTGTTTCTATTGAAACATCTATTGAACTATATCTGTTAAAACTGATGAACATGTATATAAAATATGCTATTGATATTTTAATCTTTATAATGTCTGACAAAACTTAGAGGCCTATATTTGAAATGTACTATTTAAATATAAAATATAAAATTAGTAAAAAAAAAAAAAAACGATCTAAGCAACGTGTATAACACTGCTGTAAGCAAGATTGTGTTAGATATAGCACTTTACTAAACTGCTGAGGGAAAACATATTAAAAAACAAACCGTTTAGATAATGTTATCAACAGCATGCACACTCTTTACCGCAACAACCAGTTTCTTTCTGTATTTTTGTCATTTTTATGCCATTATTTATTGATTGATTTATTTATCCAGTTCATCACTTGTGTTCTGTTGGAAAGTGCTGCTTTTTTCTGTACTATGGTCAATAAATTAAACACCCAAAATTCCTCAATGGCTCATGCATTTGTTAATAAAAGCAACAGGTCAGCCTTAATGCTCAGGGATTGTTTTATTTTATATAAGGGACATTCTACCAGAAACGAACATTATCTTTCCCTGAAATAAAAACATAAATACAGTGAATAAAGTTCCCAGTGATGGTTTGCGACAGGAAGGGCATCTGCTGTGTAAAACATGCGCTATAGTTGGCAGTTTATTCCGCTGTGGCGACCCCAGATTAATAAAGGGACTAAGCAGAAAAGAAAATGAATGAACAAATGACAGGGAAGAAAAGGTATTTTAATTCAAACATTTCTAAAATGGACTGATGGTTAATTTCTGTGAGTTGTTTGGTAAAGGAATATGTTATTCATTTGGTTCTCTTTGGTAGACTGTTATCGTGTTTTATTAAATAAGCTCCAGATTTGGCTTCAGTACTGACTAATCTAATCTGCACAAATATTATATTGTATAGCATCCTATAAAAAAACAAATTTAAAATATAGCATTGTGGGGGTGTGCATTTATATATGCTGAGGACTGATGGTTAATTTCTGTGAGTTGTTTGGTAAAGGAATATGTTATTCATTTGGTTCTCTGTTTTTTTTTCCTTTATTAAACACACTTTACAAATGTACCCTGTCATTATTTTTTTCCTCAGCCCAATTGAACCTAAAGCATTAATTGTTTTGTTTTGCTATAAACTATTATTTAGGAAAAAATAATTCAGAAGTAGCAAGTTTAAGATGTTATCATTAATTGATTAAAAACTTCAAATTATAAATAAATTCTAATACTAGAAATTTATAATACAAGTACATTTACAATTGTCCTCATGTTTCTGTCAGTCCTGTTACATTTGCGTTAAATTTAACATATTATACTTGCAATACACGTTTTAATGCCATAAAGTGACATAATTTGACGGAGAAGAAGCTGACAGTGATCAAATATGCATTCTATCATTGAATTGTATGATTTTATGTTTGTTTTTGTATGTTTTTTTTAGGACAACAAGCTTAAGTGAAGCCCTGTCACATTTTTTTTATAAGTGAAAATGTACCTTTCTGGAAGAATGTCCCATAATTTAATTTAATATCTTTGGAAATTGCAAATTGCTGACAATGTTTTTAACTTTTCTCGTGCATTCATACATACATACATATAAACATTTATACAGTACGCACATGTGTGTGTAAATGAGAAACATGGGAAAGAAGGAGAGAGACTTGTGTAGCTACAAATTTGAAATATACAGTTATTGTGTGCCTCCCTGAACCTCTGGGCCCTCATGATCTGCATTCTAAACAGTAATTTATAGTAATTTATAGTCTTAAAGACGTTTAACTTAAACAGGTGTGTATTGCTGTTGTTTAAAGTGCAACACTAAACACACAGAGCTATTAAGATCTAGCAGCTGGGAAAGTGGCGTGCAATAAATTTCCTCAATAAAAATACATGGGAAATTTAACGGCGTAAAAAAAATTATAGACCAACAAATATTGCTGCAGCGACATCTGCTGGTTAAGCACAAGACATAGTGCTCAGCATAATGGAGTAAACCCCGTTTAAAAAAAGTATTTTATCCATTTCTCAGTGAATATAGGCATTGTGTTTTGGTGCATTAAAACAAAACAGATTTAGTTTTTAAAATAATATTTTAATCACCAAACAGAAATTGAAAGACATTACAATTAAATTCAAGCTAAATATTTAAAAAAATAATTATTACCTACAAAATCTCAACAAAACTTCTCTTGATTTTTGCTATTTTTATTTGTATTTAATATTTTTCTATAACATATACATTTGGGTGTACTAGTTTTAGAACTGTTATCGTGTTAGTAGATAAGCTCCAGATTTGGCTTCAGTACTGACTAATCTAATCTGCACAAATATAATATTGTATAGCATCCTATAAAAAAAATAATTTAAAATATAACTTTGTGGGGGCGTGCACTTATATATGCTGAGCACAGATTACGTACCATTCACGTGATGTCTGAAATAAAATATGTGAGAGCTAAAAAAGTTTACACACATCATAGACAAATAAAATTAAAGATGTTTTCGAATTAAATGAAGCAAATTAAAAGTATAAGTTAAATGCTGTGTGTGTGTCAAGTTTTTTTCTGACGAAATTCAGCGACCTTTGTAAATCAGGTCCTATAACTTCCGGTTTCATGCACGCTACCTACCTCAAATGTAGCTGCTTTCCCCAAGATGACTTCAAAGAAACATGCAAGATGAACATCAGCGTGTCCACTGTCGAATATACAGGTTGGAATCTAACGTTTTTTTAAAGTTATTATCTTCACTAACATTTCAGTTTCAATTTAACAATAAAAGATTGCACAATGCATTGTGTACATATGTCCCATTTTATGGCAGCACAAGTAAATAAATAAATCCCATATACTATTTACACATTATTTATGGAATGGACCACGGTTTTAGAACACACACATAAACACACACAATATAATTTAGATATTATTATTTTACAATTATAAATTATTATTATTTTTACAAAAACATGATTTAACTATGGAAAAAAAGTTGGCCCATGGTAGACTTTGATTTGGCCCACCATCCCATCTGAATAGAGAGGGAGAAAGATGGGGCTAATGGTTTTATAGAAATGGTAATTTCGAATTTAACATAACCTTTTGTTTCATTGTTTTATTGCTGAGCTACAAAAAAACACCTGAAATGAAATGATACAATTAAAAATTGTAAATTAATCGGGCTTTTAACAAGTAAACACTGTCACTTGACATATACTGTAGAGGACAATGCACAAGTCATCTGTGAGCAAATCAAGCTATAGGCAGGAGCAGCTCGACTAGTGTATTTAGCATTGAACTCCATTGTGTTATAAATGGGATTAGGTTTTCACTGTAATAAGTTTAGTATACAATGTTTAAAATGATGTTCTGTTAGTTAATATGATTTAAAACATCATTTTTAGGATTATTGTAATACAGTTTGGTAAACAGGGTCATCACTAAGGATTTTTTTTCTATCTGGGCAGTGGTTCAGATTTTTACTTGCCCTGCCAAAGTTTTCACTGGAAAAAAAAGAAGTTAATAACTATTTCCTAGCCACATGATTTAAATAATGTGTCAATAGCCAAATATAATTATACATTTTTTATCCAGCATAACCTTTCTTTAAAAACAACTGAGAATTAAAGTAAAATTACAGTTGTGATGTACCAAAAAAATTATATATATATATATATATATATATATATATATATATATATATATATATATATATATATATATATATATATATATATATATATATATATATACATACATACATACATACATACATACATACATACATACAGTTGAAGTCAGAATTATTAGCCCCCTTCGATTTTTTTTTTTCTTCTTTTTTAAATATTTCCTAAATGATGTGTAACAGAGCAAGGAAATTTTGAGAGGGTGCTCGCTGCAGAGCCATTTGAGGAGAGCTGAGGTCCAGCGAGGGGGAGCATGAGCTGTCGCTCCTCCTCCTGTAAACTGTTTTAATCCGTACACCAACCCCACCCCTAACCCTACCCCCAGTGACATCACTCGTAGAAGAAGTGCAAAAAAGGTGGAGCTCAAGCTTAAGCACCCCCTCGCTGGAGCTCAGCTCTCCTCAAATGGCTCTGCAGCGAGCACCACTTGGAAATTTTCACAGTATGTCTGATAATATTTTTTCCTCTGGAGAAAGTCTTACTTGTTTTATTTCGGCTAGAATAAAAACAGATTTAATTTTTTAAACACTATTTTAGGGGCAAAATTATTAGCCCCTTTAAGCTATACTTTTTTCGATAGTCTACAGAACAAACCATCGTTATACAATAACTTGCCTAATTACCCTAACCTGCCTAGTTAACCTAATTAACCTAGTTAAGCCTTTAAATGTCACTTCAAGCTTTCTAGAAGTGTCTTGAATAATATCTAGTAAAATATTATTTACAGTCATCATGGTAAAGGTAAGATAAGTTCATTACTATAAACGAGTTATCAAAACTATTATGTTTAGAAATGTGTTGAAAAAAATCTGCTCTCTGTTAAACAGAAATTGGGGAATAAATGGGGAATACAGGCTGTACATACATGCATACATTTAAGTTGTCAAGTTTTGTAAAAATCTATCTACTGAATTAATCTATTAAAAAACTTGGACCAGAATTCTGCATTATAGGCTTAAGTTATAGACAGAAATAACAGATGAACCTAGACTGCTGTTAGATCATGAATCAGATTGCAATGTTAATCTATTTTCAAGGTGTCAGTGCAGAAATGAACAAAACAACAGGCCAAATACAAAATATTATAAGAATAAAATATGGCAAAACTTTCAGATAGTAATTTAGGTCAATTTTCCTAATGGATAAACAGCTCTCTGTATTATTTCAGCATTCTTTTGCTTTCCATTCAACATGAAATGCACATTTATCAGTAGGAATACCCTTACATAATTCTATCTTCATACAGTAGCCATATACTGTATATGGTTATTACGCAACCATAATAAATTGATGTGAAATGATGTAGTCTGGTTTGTTAGTTCGTTGGATCATATTGCTTTCTTTCTACAATCGATCAGCTCTAGAGTTCATTTCAATCGAGCCGAGACCACCTCATTCAGACGATCTCGGACCAATTGATTTGGCACAGATCCGAGCGGGATTGCTGGATTCACATATGCCAAACAAACTGTGATAACGGGGCAAACGATACAAGTTCCGAAACAAACGTCTAGGTGTGAAAGCACCTCAAGATTTTATTTGCACGCAATAGATGAACAGTCGCAGCCAAATTTAACTTTTCGGGCCAGTAATGATCCTGTCTACTATCCCAAGCGTATCGCACACTGGCCCTGAGCCATCGGGCTGTCCGTATTGTCGAGCCCTGGTATATATTTGGCCCACAGCCCTCAATCCAGTTTGGTTTTTGGCCCTTTTATAGGAAAAACTTTAGGAACCCCTGCACAAATTGAACCAC